GAGAGAGAGAGAGAGAGAGAGAGAGAGAGATTGGTTATGAACGGAAGCGCAGGTGGAGAACGGGGTGTTGGAGGAAAGTTTGTGAAAACGACTGTATGTAAATCACATTATTATTATTATTTTTTGGACTGATAGACCGGATTTAGGTGAGATTTGGAGCTGGGTTTTCTGGTACGTTGTTTTTTTTTTTTTGTTTTGATTTTGCCATGGTTTTAAAGTGTATGTGTGAGCGTTTTTTTGGAGATGTATTCGTTGGTTAAATACTGTAATATTTATTGGGCAGGGTATGTGTGAGCGTTTCGAGATGTCCTATTCTGCTTCTTCTTCTTCTTCTTCTTCTTCTTCTTCTTTGCTTTGTCCTATTCTGCTACCCGGAAGGGCAAGAATTCAAACACCAGACATTTTTGAACTGGCTGAAGGCGGTGCGAAGTTCTTCATTCTTCCCCCACAGTTTCGGTTTTCTCCTCCTCCTCCTCCTCCTCCTCCGCCTCCTCTCCCTCCCGCGTGTTTGAGCATCAGTTATGACCGTGGTTGAATTTGTGTGACGCATGGACGACTGCCGATTAACCTCGCTTCATTAGATTCTATTGTATTCTGTTCGATTCTTCGTCGTCGCCATAGCCGGATTGCTTGTCACGGTCTTCTTGTTCTTGTTCTTGTTCTTCTTCTTCTTCTTCTTCTACTTCTTCTTCTTCTTCTTCTATTGTCGCGTGTGCGAGAAGCAGTCTATGGCCACTGTTTTCATTTCTTCTTCTTCTTCTTCTTGTTCTTGTTGTTGTTCTTCTTCTTCGCCATAGCCCCGTTGCTTGTCACAGTCTTCTTCTTCTTCTTCTTCTTCGAGCGCGTTTCTTCTGAGCTCTGTGCATGCGGATGTGTATGGAGCTTTCTGTCGAAGCGTGCACGAAAGACAGTCTACGGCCTTTGTTCATCACTATTTTTCTTCGTCTTCTTCGCCATAGCCGCATTGCTTGTCGCAGTCTGTTTTCACCATTCTTCTTCTTCTTCTTCTTCTTCTTCTTCTTCTTCTTCTTCTTGACATCCGTAAGGGAAAAAAGACACCTGGAATGATACAGAGAAGATTAGCATGGCCTTCGCAAAAAAAAGAAGTGTTGGACTAGACAGGATGCCGGAAAGAGGTGCGGCTATGGCGGAACAGCTTGGGCCTCTTTCTGCCAAGTGTGCAAAATGGCGACTGCATCTCGGCGGAGAAGCTGGCAAGATACGGATGATTTCGCCATTTTCCTCATTTTGGCCAGTGGTGGAGCGATTCAGAGCGAGCGGGGTGGGAAAAGACCGGTCGAGATCCCAAAGGCAATTCAGGGCGCGCTCACACCGGGAACATGTGTGGATGAATTGGCCCTCGGTCACGACTAGGTGCAGTCCAAAGAGCTCGAGAAAAAAAAAAAAAAAGCTTTATGACTACAAAAGAAAGACCCAAAACAGGAAGAAGGGGGAGGAGGACTGAAAAGAAAACCAAAAAAAAAGGCGTTAGACGCAGAAGCGGCAGTAGCAAGCTAGATGATATCTGAGGTATATGATAGATGAAGGATGCGTCGATCCAATACTTCAATCATCACATGATTCATGCACTTGCACATGTCACATGTCACACGTCACATGTCACAACAAGTCCTCGCGCAGAAGGAAGACAAAGCAATCGTGAAATGCGTCAATGCGGCACACAGTTCCTCCCACCACTTTCCCAAAGTCCGCCTACCTTCTTCCCCCGAATACAATGTACGGTAATTATATCTGTATTTGGGGTATCTTTCAGTCTAAATACAGTTATAATGACTGTACGTTGTATTCGGGGGAAGAAGGGAGTTCTCCGTTGTTCCGAATGTATGCCTGTGTAGGTGATTTCAGAACTCAAGAAGGAATGCTGCGGAGGACAACAGGGAGAAAGAGGAGGAGAAGGAGGAGAAGGAGGAGAAGGAGGAGAAGAAGGAACTGAGAAGTAGGGGGGAGGGAGAGAGTGGAAGGAAGGAGAAAAACAAACAGACAGCAGAGAACAGAATTGTCTGGATCACGTCATTTATGCCTGCCAAGGTGATTTCACAACTGGAATGCGGAGGAGGAGGAGGAGGAGGAGGAGATTGACAAGTAGGGTGGAGAGAGGGAGGAGAAGGAAGGAGAAAGACAAACAGACAGCAGAGAAAAGAAATGTCTGCATCACGTCATCAGATGCAGCGTGCCTGCCTCTAGCTGCCCTGGGCTAGAGCCAGGGCTATGTGGCTATTTTATGTGTTCGGCCTGTGGGCTGTGGGACCAGGCCGTGGCCTGATCCCACAGGCCGTGTGCTCATTCAGTCCAGTCCAATCCTGCCGGGGGAGGGAGAGAGGGGAAGGAAGGAGAAAAACAAACAGACAGCAGAGAACAGAAATGTCTGGATCACTTCATGTATGCCTGCCAAGCCGATTTCACAACTGGAATGTGGTGGAGGAGGAGGAGGAGGAGGAGGAGGAGAAGGAGATTGACAAGTAGGGTGGAGGGAGGGAGGAGAAGGAAGGAGAAGAACAAACAGACAGAAGAGAAAAGAAATATCTGCATCACGTCATCAGATGCAGCGTGCCTACTTCTAGCTGCCCTGGGCTAGAGCCAGGGCTATCTGGCTATTTTACCTGTTCGGCCTGTGGGCTGTGGGACTAAGTCGTGGCCTGACCCCACAGGCCGTGTGCTCATTCAGTCCAGTCCAGTCCTGCCCAGTACCACTAGATGCCTTGGCCTAGAGCCAGGGCTATCTGGACATCTTGCCTGCTCGACCTGTGGGACAAGTCGTGGCCTGACCCCACAGGCCGTGTGCTCATTCAATCCAGTCAAGTATACCCCAGCTGCAGTCTGTTTCAGCCTCGTTCTTCACTTGCACAGTTTGGAGTACGTGTGTGTTGAGTCTGCGTTGGAGCTGCACTGTCCCCTCCAGCTCCATCTCCATCTCCATCATCTCCCCCATCCTCATCCCTTCGTCTTGATCTTGACGGACCGTCATCCCGGCGGGTCCGTCGCCTCAGGCCAGGCTGGATGGTCTGTAAGGAAAAGCATGGGTGAAACTTCAATGCAACTTCATGTGTAGGTTCCGTGGTGAAACCACTGCTGCATGGTCTGCGGGGAAAAGCATGGATGAAACTTCACTGCAACTTCATGTAGGTGTTTTTTTTTTGTGATGCTTGTCTCTCCATCCCTGCCTGGAGCACTCTCGCCACATATGGTGGGAGTGCATCATCACTGGGGGGCTTTGGGATGCCATAAGTAGGAGATGGTCTCAGGCAGATGGGGAGCGAGGGGGCATCCTAATAAAGACTATATTTTTCTAGCAGATTCACAGATCAGGATTTAGACGAACAGATTCAGTGTCCTACTCACACTGGCTCTATGTTGAATCTATCTGACCGCATTTATGGCCCGACCTGCATGTATCCGGACCGCAATTCTATCTATGAAGAAGTGAAAAAGTCCTATTGTGAGTCTGCCCTCAGTGTTTTTTTTTTTTTAATTATAATTTGGACCATTTCTCGATTTATGCGTGTCATCCTTGAAAGCGCAGAGGCCATGCTAATCTTCTCTCTGTGTATTGTTCCAATTTTAACGGATGTCCTGAAGGACGTCTGCCCTCAGATTATTGCATGCAAATTAAGGCTTTCTTAGAGGTATGTTCCTTCTGTTTTTTCTGGACTGGGTTTTGGTTCTCAGGTAGGGAAAAAAAAGCAAGGTTTTACATTATTAAAAAAAAAAAAAAAAAAAAAAGCAGCAGCACCAGTACATGGCCCCAGCCAAGTTGAGAGTCCGATTGAGCCTCTTCTAAAATTTTGGAGGCTTGCGTGTCGTCGATAAAATAAATCGACAGTGGGTCGGCCTCTGAAAGGGGCCCACGGCCGATGGCTGGCATGGAGTACCAGCTCAGGGCATACTCACACAAGTACTTTCGTTGATGTACCTGACTGCAATTACGGCTCGACTGGGACGAGTCTGACCGCAATCGCGTCAAGAGCTTAGCAGAAAAATTCCTGGTGCGAGTATGCCCTCAGACAAGCAATTGGGAAACAAAATGAGGCAGTCTGGCCCCCAATATCGCAGCAGAATGTAGGAGGACACTCAGGAGACAGCCCTCATCTCTCCGAATACCAAGTTCAGCTCTCCTATCTCAGGGCATCTGAGAGCAATCCTGCCCGCCCGCCCGCAGCTGGCTTCAGAAAATACCAAGTTCAGCTCTCCTATCTCAGGCCATCTGAGAGCAATCCCGCCCGCCCGCAGCTGGGTTCAGAAAATCCATGTGTTAATATGCCCTCATTGGTCTGGGGTTCATCACAGAGAATTACAGACGTCCAATGGGGCTCGGTCTATACACCCCGGGCCAAGAACTGTAGAAATATAGACCCACATTCGAATCCACATGATGGAACCAGATGAATGAAACAATATTTTTTCTGAATTACAGAGGGCCTGTCAACTCAATGAGGATCTCTCAAGGCCGTCGCCCAATTTTTTTTTTTTTTTTTAACGAACAAGTCACTTTATATTGCTCATATCAAACCGGCCGCGGTCCCACAATTCAACGCGGAAACGGTTCTGACAGCATCAGTCAGTTTAGCTTAAACCACCAGTGCTTCCTAGAGTCCTGCGCGTTAACGCGCCACGATTTTAGGAGA